GGGGTCCCCACTGGGGTGCCTGGCCAGTCTGGGTGAGGGACTGAGGGCTGTTTTCAGGCTGGCGGGTGACCGAAGCTCCCAACTGCTCCTTTTTTTAATTTTTTATTCTGGGCCAGCTTTAGCTCTGAGGCTGCTGAAAGCAGGTATCTGGTTTGTTTGGGTTCTATAATCGAAACACTGTATCAACTTCAGCTCTGAGATCCCGGCGGGCTGAAAGCCGGTTTCTGGAGTTTTGTTTAGCTTCTATATTTGTAACAATGTTGCAAACTGCAGGCTCAGAGGCCGGCAAGGCATGCGGGGAACGTTGCAGTCCTCCGTCACTGAAGCAAGCAAGCCTCATATTCAGTTTAAGCTGCCTGGCTGCCGGCCGCCATCTTGCCTGGCAGTTAATTTGCATATCGCCCTGATTAGCCAATGGGAAGGGTAGTGGTCATACACTAATTACCATGTTTCTCTTTTATTAGATAGGATTACTTTCTTTTGCTCAATAATTTGAGAGTAGGTCGCAGTCATCTTGGGCCCTTACTCCTAAATACATTAGCATCTATTTCATAAAAACACAGACATTCTCTTACCTAGCTAGTCATAGTACAATGATTAAATTTCAGAAGTTTAACATTGGTACTATAGTATTATCTAATTTACAGTTTATATTAAAACTAGTGGCACAGTGCATAAAATTCATGCACATTAAAAGGGAATTAATTAAGGAAATCTACACTAATAAAAGATAAATATGTAAATTGGTCATCACTCCGCTATGCCCACCAGCCAATCAGGATGAGTATGCAAATTAACCCAACAAAGATGGCAGCCCAAGCGAAGACTGAAGGTGACTGAAGACAAGAGGCTTGGCTTCTCTGCTGCAGCCGGACCAAAGGCCTGGGTCCGGGTGCCGGAATAAAACCTGTGCTGGCGCCAAAACCGGTTTGGCTCAGTGGATAGAGCGTCGGCCTGTGGACTGAAAGGTTCCAGGTTCGATTCCGGTGAAGGGCATGTGCCTGGGTTGCGGGCACATCCCCAGTGGGAGATGTGCAGGAGGCAGCTGATCGATGTTTCTCTCTCATCGATGTTTCTAACTCTCTGTCTCTCTCCCTTCCTCCTCTCTGTAAAAAATCAATAAAATATATTTAAAAAAACAAACAAACAAACAAAAAACCTGTGCTGGCAGCCAGGGTAAGGAAGGCCTATTGTGCGAATCTTCGTGCATGGGGCCTCTAGTATTTTAATATTGCTATTTGACCTTTCTCTATAATAGAAGTGTCAAAGATGAAAGAAAATTAGTAAAATGTATATGAAAATCTTCCTGTCAGAGTCTGAGGCATGCCGAGGGACCTAGAGTCAAGTCCCCGCCCACCCGCATGGCACCTCAAAATCGCGCAAGACCCAGACCTGGCCGGCCCCAGCCCCATTGGGTGAGATCCAGACCTAATCGACTTCACCCTTGTCAAGCCCTGCCAGGAGGGGGGGCGGGGCACAGCCTCAGGTCCCCTGTCAAGCCCCGCCGGGTGGGGGATGCAGCCTCAGGTCCCCCGGTGCTGGGACAGGGCACAACCTGAGGTCCCCTGTCAAGCCCCACCATGCAGGGGGTGCAGCCTCAGGTCCCCCACGCCAGCCCAACGCCAGCCTCAGGTCCCTGCTGATCACTCGCCTCCACTGTGGACACAGCCATCTTGTGATGGCATGATGGAGTGAGGGTCAGTTTGCATATTACCTCTTTATTATATTGGATTTTTGCTAATTGTTACAAAGATGTCCTTTGTTGTGATTTTTTAATTCAAACACACGATCATGCATTTCTTTTAAGCTATGTAAATTTTGTTGCTTTGCAACATGTGCCTTCTGTTCAGAAATAGAGGATATCCTTTTGACTCATCTCCTGCAAGTTTTATTGAAGAAAAAAAAAGATATTTGGGATTTCAAGGTGGCTACTTTCTAGAAAACCAAATTTACCGTGTAAGAGGACCATTTTTATTTTTTATTCTGAAAACTTTCGCTGAGTTTTGGTGTCTTAACTCAGCAAAGTCTGTCGTTCAGCAAGGCTTGGTAAGCATGAAAGTGGGTACTGAAGCTTTCCTTTATTTCATAATCCCAATTGTTTTTCTAGAAACCATCAATAGTTTCTAAATGACTGACTCAATTTTTGGATCCTATTCTCATGACCAAGCAAATGTTTGACTTGAAACCATCCCAGTATAAATGTCTCTGTGCCTCTAACTCTGAATCTATTCCTGGATTTCACTGGAGAAACCCATCAAAAATGTCTAAAACTGGAACAAAGGTAAATAAATGATCATGCTGATTTTTAGTCTAACTACTTTCTTTTTACCTAATGATACATTGAAAAAAACATGTAGAAACGCTTTAGCTACTTTCCCTGCTGGTGATTATGATAGTGTTTAGAAGGTTAGGATAGGGAGAGAAGATTAAGAAATGCTTATTATATTCTGTACTCTAACAGAATTATCAAACAGTTTGTTAAGGGGTTATCAGTATGTGTGGTGCTATGTTGAATACTGTACAAGTATATAACATGTAAATACCATGATTTTTGTCTTCCAGAAACTAATATTCCATGCACTTCCACAGGAATAGGAATGCTGATCAGAGGATTATGTGAAGTAGAAAGCTTTTGGTATTCAATGAAAATTTTGTTTTATGAAATTTAGCCTCAACCATTAATATTTTAAAAGGCCAAGGAACAATCAAGAGAATTAAATCCTACATATCCTCTTCATTCAAGCAGTTACTCTAACCCTTTGCCCCAAATAAAGTGCTTATTAAGTTAAGAAAATTACCTTTAAATATTTGATTTACAGTTGTTGAACTGGCTATTTGATCCCTCTGGCAGGGCTTTGGGAATGAGGGAATGTACCTTCATTCTCATTTTAGCTCTTCCACTGACCAGGGACTGAAGCAAAGCCATTAGTTCCTGATTCCCCCCACCCTCCCCACCCCGACGTTTTACTTTGAAAACTTTCAAACCCATTGCATCATTTTAGAGAGCACCTATTAATATGTTCTAGAACTGGTTAGTGCCTGGTTAATTTCCTTTTAGAAAATAGAACTAATAATCATACTTGTTATTCAGAAGGAGAAAAATGAGAAAGTGTCTTTAGTGCTCTGAATTTTTTGATAATATGCCAAGCACATGCCACTGAGAATGTGCAGTCCTAGAGAGATATCCATGTACCTCGAGGGAAAGCTGTTACAAAATCACCTTAGATGAAAACATGGCTGCTTTCAGAGATTTCTGAAGTAGTAATGGTGTGCTCTCTCATTTCTTGTGGCTGGACTTTTGCTTAAGTTAACTAACCTTTGTTTGCTAGTCCAAAGAAGACTGCATCTCTTTCTCTTACTCTCCCTTTCCCACTGTCTTGCTAGCAGTTTAATCAGAGGAGTTAAGGGCTTGGCAGAAAGAACGTATTGTGTTTGTTTTTGTTGCCTCTGGAATACTTGAGATACTTTTCTTTCTGCCACATTAGATTAGTAGGCTATTTTTCAAAAAGTCAACTTGAAAACAAGAGGAATTTTGAAATTTTAGGCAAATCTTCTGCACATTTCTCAGCCTTTTCTGCAGATTCCCCTCCCACCCTCAAGAGTTAAAACCTTCTCTTAGCTGACCGTAGAGTAGACTTCATAGACCTACAAATGGAAAGTGAGTAGATTTGCAACATTCTCTGGACCCTGAGCGTTAGAAGGTCTCCCTGAAAGGTGAGCTTGGTCCTGGAGCTCAGTGATAGTTCCATGGCAACATTAGTGCTTTGTTTCAATCTTGGAATGGTTAGCTGCTCTGCTGGGAGATTGGACAGCAAGGTGACCTTGTAGAATATCATGTATATTTCACTTCTCAGCTATTGATGTCAGTCAGGCACATGTGCAGACAGCAGTAAACGTGAGAAACAAGGAAAAAGATGATACTAACTTAATTTCCCATAACATATCCCTTGCAAAGGCTCTTTTGTGATTAGTTGGCTGAAAACCAAAGGTAAGTTGAATTAAAGACTTTGGGTCTATCAATTTATAGAAATGTTACCTTGATTTTCCTAAAGATCTTTTCACAGGTTTTGGGAAAAACCCCTCAGACTCAGAATCAGTCTTGTTCTGTTTCTAAGAGAGTAAATTCTATTTGTTCTGTTTATAAGAGAGTAAATTCTATTTGTTCTGTTTCTAAGAGAGTAAATTCTATTTGTCAAACAGGGATAGCTGTGTAGGTAGGAAGACAGCAAAAGGGAAAATAAAGTAAAATAAAATGAACCACAGATTACTAACCAGGAATTTGCACTGCAGTGCACTCACTTGCCTGCAACTAGATAGTGACCTTAAGAAAGTTAATTAACTTAGGGTTCTGTAACAACTATAAGAAAAGCTTATTGGCAATTTTGAACTAGGTATTAAACTAATTGCTTTATCTACATTATCGCATTGGACCCTCAGAGCAATCCTGTGCAGTAGATACGATGATCCAGTTTTACAAATGAAGAGACTGAGCCTCAGAGATTCAATGGCTTGTTCAAGTCACAGAGCCAGCGACTAGTGGTGCTGCTATTTTGTTTTGTTTGATTTTTATCTTTAAACAGGGGCACCATATATCTTTAAATACTAGTATATGCTGTGCTGAAATGGGAAAAGGAGCTGGAAGAGATGAATTTGGGAAGGGGCAAAAGGAGATAAAGTAGACAATTAGGGGTGGGAAGGAAGCTTTTAGGGAACAGGAAATAAAAGAGATGAAATGGGAAAGGTAAAGAGGGGAGATTAAGATAGAAGGAAATAATTATTAGTAGGGAACCATCTAGAAAGAACTACATGGGGTGGAAGAGAATGAGGTTTTATGTCCATTTGTGAGTCATTCTTGGTTTCTTCTCACCTTTATTCTCTGCATCTAATTAGTCACCAAACCCTAAATTTCTGTTGCACGTTTTCTCATCATCATTCACATAGCCATTTGCCTTTCCATTGGCCCTCATCACTTACCTTGCCCATAACAACCATCTATTTCCAGGTACATCTCCCGCATTATCACCAAAGGGATTCTAGCATGGCTCCTGTGTCTCTTTTCTGCCTTAATTTCCTAATACTTCACAAATACTCAACGTAATGGCCCCTACAATGGCTCATAATGTCTCACTCCTTTATTCCTTTGAACAGGCTATCCTTTTTTTTTTTCCCTTTGCCTGTGGAGAAAACCCCTACTTAGCCTTCAAGCCTCACCTAGAAGATCCTCTCCAGACTAGTTTGCTCTGCTCCTCCTGGTTTTCTCCTTTTAAACCGATAGAGCAAAGAGTCACAAGGTGGCGGCATAACGCCAGGGAATTAACTTCTTATGATGCCTGTGACTTCAGTTTTAAATGATAACCTAGCATTGATTTTGGATTGAGGAATTATAGCCCATTTGGTCTAGTGGTTGTCAGACACTGTTTCATTAAGCCTTGGGTTATTTCTTGTAACTCTATCCCCTATTTCAACCAGAAAAGCTCTGAGTTTTATTTCACAGCCAGGGCGACCAATGTAGTCTATTCCTTTCATTTGACAAATAGGACTTGGAACCAAGAGATGGCTTGACTAAGGTAGTGGGGCTGATTAGTGAGATGCAGCTCTAGAGCCCAGGTTTATTATTTCCAGTTTTGCAGGGCTGCATGTTTTCCAAGGCCATCACAGATCCAAGGGGGTACCCCAAGCATTCTGTTAGGAACTGGGGAAGAGCTTGAAACAGAGAACATTTTGTTACTTTGCAACAATTTTCTTGGCAATAAAATAATACAGAACATAATATGGTATATTTTCATGCTCTGTATCCATCTAAAATAAGTTCTCTAAAGTTAAGGTCTGTTTATTTTGCCTATGTATCTTCTATTTCACCTAGAATGAATGCCTGCATTTACACTTATTTGCCTTCACCATTTATTGAGCGTCTGACAAGTGCTGGGCACAGGGGTTTTTAGCACAAATGAGGTTTGGTCTTCACCCTTGAAAGAAGTCCACTAGGAGGTCTGGTGGGAGAGATAGACATATTAGTAGATCATTTATTATTTAATGTGGTAAGTACAGTGAGGTGTGGGAATAAAAAGCAGGAAGCAGTGAGCTTGAGTCTGAAATTGCCAGCTTATATTAGAGCACTTTTTGTTTTTTTTATGTTAAGCCCTCAGAACATACTCATTCCTATCATTGACAACCAAAGTTGTCTCTCAGAAGGTAAATGTTATAAGGTGAAGTAGTGCAAAAATGGAGAAGGAAGGAAATTGTGAAGTGGGGGGTATGCTCTTAATTTCTATCTTATGTATGAATGATGCCACCAAACTACTCAGTTCTCTTTGTTTGCCCTGTACTTCAGATTACTTTCTATGAAGACAAAAAATTTCAAGGCCGCCACTATGACTGTGATTATGACTGTGCAGATTTCCACATGTACCTGAATCGCTGCAACTCCATTAGAGTGGAAGGAGGCACCTGGGCTGTGTATGAAAGGCCCAACTTTGCTGGGTACATGTACATCTTACCTCGGGGCGAGTACCCGGAATACCAGCATTGGATGGGCCTCAGCGATCGCCTGGGCTCCTGCAGGGCTGTTCATCTGGTGAGCCTAGTGGCACTCCCGCTGTCTCCACACTTTTTTGTTTTACGTGGAAGTTTTTTTGAGGTTTTTCTACTTCTTAATGGGAAGCTGTCTTTTTTGGCTGTGGAGGTTTAAATAAAATCTTAGCTCAGTTCATCATAAGACTGAATACACTAATTATTTCCATAGCACTTTTGCTACCTCTTGAGGATTTTAAGGAATTAAGATTTTAAGTCAGCTGTTTCAGTCAGTGCACAGTGGGGATGGGAGTTTGGATCATCTAGATTTCAAGATGGTGGGTTCTGAACCATCCTGTTCTCTATAACTTGCTGGTGATTTCCATGATGGTTACTGTTCGTTTCCTTCTGTTTTTTTTAGTCTAGTGGAGGCCAGTATAAGATTCAGATCTTTGAGAAAGGGGATTTTAATGGTCAGATGTATGAAACCACTGAAGACTGTCCTTCCATCATGGAGCAGTTTCACATGCGAGAGGTCCACTCCTGTAAGGTGCTGGAGGGTGCCTGGATTTTCTACGAGCTACCCAACTATCGCGGCAGGCAGTACCTTCTGGACAAGAAGGAGTACCGGAAGCCCATCGAATGGGGTGCAGCTTCCCCAGCTGTCCAGTCTTTCCGCCGCGTTGTAGAGTAATGACATGGATGGGCCATAAGCTTCTTCCTAGGGGCCAAACACTGCTGGCCTTGTCATCAAATAGGCGTCATAAATAAAACAATTGGCATGCACTCCACTGTTGACTGTTGCCTCTCCTTAAACACTCTTAGGGATCAAATAGTATCCACCAGAGTGGGCAGTTACACAAAGCAACTAACTCAAAATGGGACTGCATGAAAAAGACTAGAAAATCATAGTGCCACATGTTGCTAATTTTGTGTTAATTCACAGGTACAATAGTAATAGCTGCCATTCATTGAGTGCTTTTATTATGCCATTTTCTCTTCACAACAATCCTGAAAAAGGGGTGGTTCATCTGCATCTTATGAATAAGGAACCGGAAGTTTAGAGAAATTAAAAACTTGCCCAAGTTCACCAGCTTGTGAATGACGGGACCAGGATACTTAGGTTTCTAAAGCCCTGTTCTTTTCTCTATTTTTAACTCATTCAACACATATTGGCTGGGGATCTGTGTACATCATGTAAGTACACAACCCTGGGATAGTGTACCTATCAAACGGGGCTATTACTTGAAAATAGTAGTGCCACAGTCTCTTGAAGTCCTTTATGATCCAGAGATTCCTGTGCCAGTTACCTCTCAACCCTCAGTTCAGTTTATCTGTAAAAAGAAAGGACATGTGAAACAATTTATGCCTGCTTTAAAATAGTTGGGATGGAGTTTTATTGAATTCTTCTTACTTTGAGATTTTACTAGTATTTATTTAGTCTTAAAGGAACTGGGGCATTACTAGTAATGTTTAGTGAATATCCCACTGAACTGGGATACTCTGGATGTACCTATCTTTAGAGAGATGGCAAAGCTCATGTCTCCTAGGAGTTTTTTCCTGCAAAGGACGAATAGAACAGCCTAGGAACCTCCCTTTGTATTCATTTCAGCCTGTACTCTACTGTGCAGTGCCTGCTCTCCCCTGAATGCTTTTATTCATTTTGTTAACTTCAGCCCTGCCTCCTGTCATTTTTTTCATTTTGAGTGAAGGACTTTGAGAAATTTAAGTGAAACTGAGCGAGAAAGACATGGTACACTGAGGAGGAATGGGAGGCCACTGAGCTGCAGAGCTCTGGACCTTGTCACCCTACCATGAAGTTAACTTTCCTTATCTCCACAATGAGGGAGGTGAGCCAAATGCTCACTCAAGTCCCATCGAACATAAACATTCTAATTCTCTGAAGGCCAGGACAATGCTGAAAGACTAGCTGATGTCTAAAGACCACTAACATTTATTTTTAGAGGCACAATTTCTGGGAATGACCTTGGAGACCCTGCCTCTCCTTTTCTGCAGAGGATGCTGAGGGGGTAACAGTGACTGCCAGTCTTTCCTCTCATACCAACTGCTGCCATGTTCCAGTCCTTGGTGAGCTGATCACAGTCTGTTCAAAACAAGCAGAAAAGCAGTTCTGGCAGCAGGATAGGAAAACAGGCATCAGAATGACTAACCACGGTCTCAGAGAAGTAGAAGATGGGTTTTGACAGATAAAACAATTATTTGGGGATGTTTTATGCCTCTTGGTGCATACCCTGGTCCAGAAAGAGATTGCCACCATTCTCCCCAGCCATGGACACATTAATCAACTTGCATATAAAAGGAATTTTACTAGCAATCAACATTACAGTAAAAAACACTCTATGTCCTTATCTATCAATCAGCCCCAGTTCTGATAGAACATTCTGCCATTAGAGCCAAAAGCACCTATCATGGACACCCATGGGTTGTTATTTATAAGTATTACCTCTCTCTGCTTTTTATGGTTTTGCTGCTCTAAAATGGGGGAGGAGGTGTCTCAAGAAAATAGGGCAATGGCTTACTTAGACCATTGTAGTCCTGTTTCCATTGTAGTCCTGTTTCCATTCTACTTATTCCTCAGACACAAGTCATTGAATATTTCCCAAACATAGAGCCCACTTCCTCAAAATGTAACATCAGGGGCTCTTCTTTAAAGCCTTTATAGTAGTGGAATCTAAAAACAAAACAAATAAAACAAACCCATAGATACAGAGAACAGATGATGGTTGCCAAAGGGGAGGAGGTGGGGGGTTTGGGAGGGAGTATAGGGGAGTTAAATGTGACCAGTTATTTATTCCTTTATTCAAGGAAAATAAAATTTAAAAATAAAGCCCCCAGGTAGGGTTGCCAGATTAAGTAGTGGACAGAATTAGTAAATCCCAAGTCAGATAAGTCAGATATAAACATAGTATAAGTATATCCCAAGTTTTGGATGGAATGTACTTACACTAAAACATTATTTGTCATTTGTCTGAAATATAAATTTAACTGCATTCTGTATTTTTATTTGCTAAATATGGCAATCCTATGCTTAAAGGGCAAAACAAAGGGGTGACATGGCACTGAAAGGGAGTCAAAGTCTTTCATTGAGTCAGAATCTCCCTATAAGTTTCAACCTCTATTCTAGTTCTGCTTTCCATTTAATTCTCCATTTTCTTTAGGCAAGCATGTCAAACTCAAAGGCTAACATGGCCAAATAAAGTTTAAGTTGATTTGGGCTGCAGAAAAAACAAAAGCTTCAATTTTTATAGAAATGTAGGTTTATTTCAATAGAGACATATTGAATACAAAGGGCTTTGAATATTAACTTACCAGACACTGAATAACTGCACAAATTAATAAGCGTAATGCAAATAAACCTACTTTTCTAGTTCTCCAAAAGTGGAATATTTCCTATTGCGCACACCAAACAAGTCAGTACAAGACTAATGACATGGCAATCCGCTGCTAAAATATTCGCTGCTAGTATTAGTGGAGAGAAATGGTGCATCTGTGAGTAAGGTGCATAAGGGAAATGAATGCAACACGATTATAGTAATAAGTCATTAGCAAATGTTGCAGTTCATTATTAATAGTTATGTATGACAGGATATTATAAAAATTTAAGTTACGAAATTTTTATTAAAATGTTTCTTACATACCGTTATATTGGCTGGGCCACAAAAATATTTGTTATGGGCCACATGCAGGCCAGGAGTTTGACATGCTTGCTTAGGTATTTAAAGATGCCTCCTGTTTGCCTCCACACTCCCATTTCCAAGTGGATCAACTCCTGTTCCTTCCACTGTTTCTTGATGTGTTGGCTCCCAGATTCCGCTCCATCCTGTGCTGACTGCAGATGATCTTTCCCACTGTTTCAGCTAAAGTCTGACCAGAGCAGAGGATCTGGGGGATTGTGTTCAGTTCTTCCACCTTCGTTTCTTAGATATATACTGCTTTTTTCTTTTTTAGAAAATTAAGTTTATTGGGGTGACATTGGTTAATAAAATTACATAGGTTTCAGAGGTATAATTCTATAGTATATACTCTTCTAGACTAAGCTCAGTTATCCTTGAACCTTCTCACCACCCCTGATAATGGGCCTGGTCACTCCTTCCCAGGAACTGGCATTTCAGTTCAAGGAGAAAGTTCCTGTCCCCTCTAGAAAGTTTGAGAGAAATAGATTCAAATCCTGCCACTTCCACATGTTAGCTCTAAGTCACACAATCTAATATGTATAACATTGATTTCCTTATCTGTAAAACAAAGACAACACTTGCTCTATAGGCATTAAAGTAATGTATGACAAACACATAAATATATGGTCAGTTCTTATTATTTGCAGTAGTTATATTCTTTTTTTAAAAATATATTCTTATTGAGAACCAAGATGGTGGGATAAGGTATACACCTATATGTGCTGCCTCTCACAACCACACCAAAACTACAACTAAAAGACAAAACGGCTATCATCCAGAACCATGGGAAAGCTGGGTGAGTGGAAGTTCTACAACTAGAAGGAAAGAAAAAAGTGCATTGAGACTGGGAAGGAAGTGCAGAGGTGCAGAAGAGCAGAGGTATGGAGGTGCGCAAAACAGGCTGGCAATGGGGTGCGCTGTTTTTTTCAATTAGAAGGGAGATACAACCTCCCAACTGCTCTGAACTCCAGTTACTGGTGAGACTGCGGACCCAGATTCCTACCGGGAGAAACTGGACTCTCTGGTATCAGGTCTGAAAGAGAGGGTGGCTTTCTCACAGAGGTGCTCGCAGGGATCATTGTTACTGCATGGGGGCGCGGGACATGGAGACTCGTAGACGCGGAGACAGCTGACTGGCAGCCATCACTGTTTGTTCTGCCCTGGTGATTCCCTGAGACCCTGCCCCACCCAATTTACAACCCCACCCAAGCTGTGGTCAGCAACTTTTGCATATGAATGGTCTGTCCTTTTGCAGCCTAACCTAAAAAACTGCATCTGGGTCAGAGAGCTCCAAAACTTCCAAACCCCAAACAAAGAGGAGAAATCTGCAGATCTCGCTGTAGCTCCTGCTGGGTGGCCTCAGGCAGTGACTTTGCACCTCCTTGGAGATCCAGGAGCCAATGTGCCCAGTGGTCAGATACCAGATTTCAACTCCTCACATCCATAAGTGACACACTCAAGAGGCAGACTCAGTGAGCACCAAAGCCCCACTGAAGCAAGTCCTGCCCCATAAGGGTGCCTCCAGCACAGCAGTTCTTCCACTATAGACACAGCTGGTCCTCACAGCCAATTGGCCTGGAGGTCAATTCCTCCCAGTGATACCAACAGCAATTAAGACTTAACTACAACAAGACTGTGCACCCAGCAAACAGTGATACCAACAGAAGAGTGTCCACCTCCAGTGATTGGGGAGGCTGAGACACTGGGCCCTATAGGACACCTACCACACAAAGACACTCTATCAACACAGGGAAGCAGCCAAAATGCAGAGACAAAGAAACATGTAACAAATGAAAGAAATGGAGGAAAGCAAACTACTGGATATAGAGCTCAAAACCACAGTTATAAGGTTACTCAAGAATCTTCTAGAAACCTCTGAGGAACTTAGTGAGACCTCTGAAGAACTTAGTGAGACCTTCAAGGATCTTAATGAGAATGCCAAAAAAATGGAAAAGGATCAGTCAGAAATTAAGCATACACTGTCTGAAATAAAGAATAATATACAGAAATTCAAAAGCAGCAGTGGGGTGATGGGGGTGGTGCCTTCCCAATCAGCCAGGTCACCTCTGGCAGAGGGAGGCCAGACTGTGGCTTAG